TTCCTGTGACATCTGCCACCGAGTACCGCTGGTGAGGTTCGAGGGAACATCCACAGAGAAAGCTGCCCTTGGAATGCTCAGAACGTACAGAGGGGCCAGACTGTAGCTGACAAAAACAGTGAGGAAATAGCCAGCACTATTTATAGGGTCTGAGGGTGGGTGTAAAACTCAGGTGTGGCGGATGCTAAGGTGAGGCACAGGGGCACAGGGAGCTGCGTCTGTCATGCCAGGTGACTGTGTTGGAGTCCCTCGGACACAGATCTGCAGCACCGCTACTCTCGATGCTTCTAAATGAACTACCACGGGTCAAGCTGGTCTCATCACCAGCTTCTGATGTGAGACAGGCATCCTCCAGCCTTTAGCTTAGTGGAGAAGTGTTACCGTCAGGGTCCCTGCATCTTGCAGCCTCCTAGACTCTGCGCTTGACCCTCCAGCTTGATGAGGTGCTGCATTTGTGTTTGGCACAGACCCTCTTCACATATGTAGAAGACACTATCTGGCTTTTCCCAATCGCTGTAATTTGATGTGGCAAGATTATCACAGAAGCTGCTTTCTGTCACATGGTTAGTCTTTGTCTCTTTGAAGTCCAGAGATCACATCACTGTTGGATTAAATAGAATATAGAGAAGCGTGTCCTTCAATCACAGACTTGAATTTCACACTGTTAAGATTTATGATTAGTGAACCAGGGTGTTGTGGGCCCAAGCCTTAAATCCTAGCATTCAGGAGGCAGTAGATGGATCTCTGGGTTTGAGGCCGGCCTGCTCTACAGAGAGAGTTCCAGGGCTACACAGAGAAACCCTATCTGGAATAACCAAAGGTAAAAAAAATATATATATATATGATTAGCTACTTTAGGTGTATTTGCTCAGTAGAGCAGCCATCGCTACAATGTAACTTTTGGAAATGTTCATTCCTGGCCACGGAAGAGGGCTCATGACTTTCCATTCTTCACTGGCGGCCGGTAACACCCAGTCTGCCTCCTGACTCCAGCCGTGCCTATTCCAGAGATCTCTCTCTTACAGGCTCCTACAGCCCCTCTTGTGTCTGACTGGGAAAAATCCTCCATGTTGTACTTCGTTGTTTTGGCTGAGAAATACCGCATTGTATGGAAAGGCCACTTATGTTTACACATCCGCTGACGGACTTTTGGATTGTTTCTGCTTTTGCACTATTACAGAAGAATATAGGTTTGAGCATTCATGTACAAGTTTTTTGGGTGGACACCTAGAAGTGGGCGGCTGGTGACCTCTACCTGCATGTTGTTAACTCTCTAGGAGACGGCGGGTCGCCTTTCCGAAGGAGGTATCTACAATCCCAGCTTTCCACCAGCAGCGAATGAATGCAGCCGTCTGTCCACATCCTCAGCAGCACTTGGCATTTCCTTTTCATTACAGCTACCCTAGCGGAAAGGAGGAGCTTCACAGTGCTGCTTGGCACACCTTTCCCTGTTCTACTGCCCATCTGTGGGTCTTCTGTTCGCAAATGTCCATTCAAATACCTTGTTTTTAGTATCAGGTATTTATTGTTGCTTCTTTATTGTCTTTTTATTTTTGACATGTATGTGTTCTTTTGCTGTGCGTCTTTTTGCTATTAGCGTAGTCCTATAGCTCTTCCATCCCTGCAGGAGAATTTGGCTCAGTCCTGCTAAGAGCAGAATGAAGGCATTCATTTTGTACTCTTTGCTTTTTTTGTTTGTTTGGTTTGGTTTGGTTTTGGAGACACAGGGTTTCTCTGTGTAGCTTTGGCTGTCCTGTAGGCTGGCTTGTTTTGAGCTCAGAGATGCCTGCTGGGCGTAAAGGCATGAGTCACTATGCCCATCTCATTCCATACAGTAGTAGGCCCTGGTCCCAAGCCACCTTTTCAATTTCCTGATGCTATCTTTTGAAGGAAAAAAAAAAGTCTCAATTTTAATGAAACCTAATTTGTATAAAAAGGTCTGTTGCTTTTAATGTCATGTCCAAAAAATTATTGCCCTGTCTCATCTTGCGTGTTAGGACAGAGATGTATACCAGTGTTTTCTCCTTGGAGACTTTCAGCTTCACCTGGTATATTCCGAGTTCACAGCTGCACGTGATGAGGTCCTGGGCCAACCATGGCAACCATCACGTGTGGATATCACTTGTTTAACTCCGCTAGAAGACTCACTTCACCTGCCAAGTATTAGTTAATTGTAAGTGTATGGCGAATTGCTGAATCCTCCATTCTATTCCACTTAGTCTGGTTTTATGCATTTTTATTAATGCATATTAACAATATGTATTATCAGTAATGTACATTTTCTTTGCAGAAAGTTTGAAATAAGGAAATGAACTTCATACGTCTTTGTGTGTGTGTTCAGTTGTCTAATTCTGGGTCTCCTGAATTCCCTTGTGAATGTTATAATCTATATATTCATCCACCTAAGTTGACTTGGTAAGAATTTGCTTGAATTTACAGGTCCGTCTTGGGGGCGTTACCATCTTTTAAATTTTTTTTAAATTTTTTAATATTAATTATTCACTTTATATCCCAGCTGTAGCCCCCTCCCTCATTCCCTCCCAATCCCACCCTCCCTTCCTCATCTCCTCCCATGCCCCTCTCCAAGTCCCCTGAGAGGGGAGGTATCCTCCCCTTCCATCTGACCTAGCCTATCAGGTCTCATCAGGGCTGACTGCATTGTCTTCTTGTGGCCTGGCAAGGCTGCTCCCTCATCAGGGGGAGGTGATCACTTTTTTAAAATTTTATTATTATTTATTACAATTTATTCACTCTGCATCCCAGCTGTAGCCCCCTCCTTCAGCTCCTCCCGGTCCCAATCTCTCCCTGTTCCCCAGCTATGTCCCTCCCCTAGTTCACTGACAGGGGAGGTCCTCCTCTCCTACTATCTGACCCTAGCCTATCAGGTCTTATCAGGACTGTCTGGATCTTCTCTGTGGCCTAGTTAGGCCACCTAGCCAGGGAGAGGTGATCAAAGAGCTGGCCACTGAGACAGTCTCTGCTTCCCTTACTAGGGAAACCCTACGGTGACTGAGCAGGGGTAGAGGTTGATTCATCGGTCTCTACAGGACCCCTAAGCCCAGATTTTTTAGGTCTGTTGGTCTCCTTGTAGAGTTCCCGTCTGCTTCAGGCCTTTCTATCTCTCCCTTCTTCCATAAGATTCCCTGCACATACTAAAATCTACGGTCCTAAAGAAGCTAAACAAGGAGGACCCTAGGGCAGAGGTTTAATCCTCATTCAGAAGGGCAAACAGGATAGACATGGGAAGTAGAAGACAGGGAACAGGACAGGAGCCTTCCACAGGGGGCTTCTGAAAGACTCTACCCACTAGAGTATTGAAGCAGATGCTCAGCTTCGAAGTTTGGCTGAGACTCAGCCAAACTTTGGGCAGTGTTACCATCCTGATATTAAGGCTTCCAACCTATAAGGTTCCCTTTCCTTATTTAGGCATCTCCTCTTCTCTTTCAATAAAGCTTCCTATTTTTCTTCGAGACCGGGTTTCACTCTGGGCGTTGGCTGGCCTGGGGCTCTCTGAGGCTCAAACGGGCCTCATGGAGATCCATCTGTCTCTGTCCACATCCTCAGCAATCCCTACACTGCAAGTCCTGGGATCTAAGGTGAACAGCCAGCCTGGCTCCTTTGTACTTTCTGGTGCGGCGCTGTGGAGAACTTGAGCATGACACCTGTTGCTTGTGATCTTGTGAAAATTCAGTTCCGTGTCAGAGTTAAAATTATCCACGGCTGATTTGTGGAGGTAAATTCATTTGCCTGTTTCTGGAAGCACATTAATGTCATTCAAGTAGGTCCAAGTGTTTAGTTTTATTTCTTCCCCCTTTCCAGCCCTGGTAGACATTTTGGAGGACATTCCTGATTTTTCTATGGAAGCCATAGGGCCATTAGGCAACTCATTCTTGTCTTCATCATTATCTTTAACTATTTCTTTTACCCCTTGTGACATGGCTTAATTTGCTAGGACCTTAATCTATTTTTAGCCTCCTACAAAAACATGCAAAACAAAAACAGAATTTATTAACATCTTCTCGGAGTGTTTACCCTTGGACAAGAAGAGGGGAATAATATTTGGCCTGGCTCTTAAAGACTGGCAGAGAGTCAACACTCTCTGCTTCTGGGTGGTCAGGACTCCTGAAGTCCTGTTGAGTTGCTCGGGAAAGCACCTTCACGCACTCAGGGTCGCCTTCTTGCTCTATGACGACACACCCCCACCCGCCTCCTGGGCCTCCCCTTCTTTCAATTTTGAGGTGGTCTCACTAGGCCTTGAATTTTGAGGTCTTTCTCCTTTACCCTCCCAAGGAGCCGGGAGTCCAGGCCTGCCCCACGGCCTTGCAAGAGTCTTTTAGAATGTTTCAGGTGAACACAGACTCAGAAATTGAGGTCAGCTGCTCTGCGTACTCTCGGGAGCCCAGCTGGCTGGAAGTTCCTGCTGGAAAGTCAGACTTCTACAGCCTGTGTGTTCCTTTTACGTACGTCGTGTCAGTGGAAGCAGAAGAGGCTGAGAGGAAAACTAGACGCAACTTGCCCATCTTACGACTGTGAAAGCCTCCCTGGGATGGCCTGCTTTCTTCGGGCTACGACTGTGCATTAGCTCACTCACAAGCCACCTGCCCCCGAGGACAGGACATTCCTGAGACAAGAACAGGCTGCACTGCCCAACCTGAGCCGCAATGGAAGATCTCTCAGGCACTCTCTTGGCTGGGTCTGTTTGGCCATGATACAGAGACCTGGCACTTTTCCAAGCCGAGGTACCAGCTGGTGATATTTCTGATCTAATGCCAACTGACTACTTGGTTTCCTGTTTCCAGAAATGAACCTCAAATTACACCTACGAAAGGCAGGGCAGGTTACTGGGGTATGACTCACACCTCGTAGTAGCAGAGGCTTAGCCCGGCCTGCCTCTGCTTCCTAAGCGCTGGGATTAAGAACGTAACACACCACCCACCCACCATCTTTTTGTCTCCCTACGTCCTGGGAGACTCTTATCACAGCCACAACACTATGAGAAATATTGCAGTCAGATCCATTTCATTTTTATTATGAACAAACACAACCTCAGATGAGTAGAAATACTTTCGGAGTTGATATTAATGAAAATTATTAGATTACAAACAACTACTGTTGCACATAATAAAGGAAAAATCCCACCCAAGGAAGGAAATGGAGTCCTGCATGTTTTCATAGCAATGAGTATACATTATCTAACGCATCCAGTCTCTGAAAAGAATGATGTGGATTAACAATGTCATCTGGGACATAGGCACATGTCAAGTCCATGGTGGACAGTTACTATAAAAATGTGCAGGACTTAAATATTCCTCTGCCGAGGATCCCCAAATGTTTTATAAAGAGCATTTAGTCATGCTCAAACCTACCCGCTGAGGTAGGTCCGGGTTATTATCCCAGTCTCACAGAAGTAATACTGAGTCACATTATTGTTAAATGTCGTGTCCAGTGCTATGTATGGTTCGAGTTTGTCCCCTAAGTCATGGGTTGGAAACTTAATCCCCAAGGCAACAGTGTTGACAGCTGGGTCCATTAAGAGCTGATTAGGTCGGGAGGGCCCTTCCCTCATTAACATATTAACATCCTTACCCAAGGAGCGAATTCATTATTGTCAAGAGCGGGGACTGATAAAAACAAAAAACAAAAACAAAACTAGAGCGGTAGGAGGCCCTGGCCTTCCCCACCAGCATAACACGGCCAACGCTTTCTTAACTTTTCTTTCTACTAACCTATTTCAACTAAAAGAAGACACTCAGGATACTAGCAAACCATGAAGAAAAGCTTTCTCTTTAAATGCTACAACCAGCTTTTAAATCTTAAAAAACAATTAACAAAACCTACGAATCACACACGCTCGAATTACTTCCACCATCCATCAGCTATGGGTACTTCATCCAAAAAGCCCTAAGAAAAGTTCCCCAAATGAAGCCCCCAAAGGGATTACTGCAAGTCAGTGTGCAGCTAACCCTCCAGCCAGATCAGTTTCCATCCTGCCAATTACAGGCTCTCCGGTTTCAAGGGATCCGCAGAGGAGGCCAGCTCAGGCTCATAAGCAACACTGGTCAGGGAAAAGGTAAGGCACCCAGGTCAGCCTTTAGCATGTCACAGGCAAGGGCTGTTAGAGTCAGGTCTTAGTTTATTAATCTGTCACTTGATTGGAGCTTTAAAATCTTGAAAGCAGTGTTCCTTACTGACAGATACTTAAACGGGGTCCCCAGCCATGGCATGGTTCAGGATCCATGGGGCAGGCTCAGAAGAGTTGCTTTTACTTTTCACATATTATTAAGTGGATGCCCAATAACCAGTGGAACTAAAATCATCCAAAAGTCATTTCCAAGGAACAGGGCCAGAGGTCGGCTAATACACTCTACTCTCCCTCCAACCACCGGGGCTCAGCAGTATCTATAGCATCTGTTATGCTACCCAGTCAGGCTTCTGCATTGCTGAACGGAGCTATGGGGACAGATACACCAATCAATCTGCTGAACAGAATCCTCTATGCAAAGTTCGAGGCATCTCAGATCTCCTCTTAGCTGAAGCTCTGCAGAAGGCCGTGGCTCCGGGTATAAGGAACTCGAACCGAGGCACTTACGAACACAACCTGGGTTCTTGTGCTTCCCCCGTAGTCAACATGCCCTTCTCTTCCCACAAGCACCACATCGTCACCCAGAACTGATTAGCCCAAGGAGCGTTGCTGAATGCAAACAGCACTGAGCATGCTCTACCCTGACTCATGTTGGAGGCTGAAAAAAAAAAAAAAAGAAAAAAGAAACCTTGTCTTGCTCTGTCATCGGCACACTGGCACAACGGGAGCATTTGTTTTGGAATGACTCAAGAGACAAAGAGCCTCTCTGAGCCAGGGACGTTTCTACAAAGTTTGCCAAACTTTTTTCTTTAAACGTCAGTGTCAGCAGCCTGGGGAAGAGAGGCGGAGAATCTGACAGCCACAGGAAAGGGGCAGCCAGCTCTATCTCACTACGGATACAGGATCCCTGCACGTCTTTACTGCCTGCAAAGATGCGGGATATTTCTACCTAGAGCAAGACTAAATGTCAAAAAGGAAGAACAACAAAAAGCAAAAAGACAGAAAAGAACCACCAGCACACAGAGACGCCTAGCGGAAAAGAGGCAGATGCAGGAGCACGAAGAGATTCTGGCCATGTATCCCACCAACCAGAGCCCTATGCGTAGGCTGGGTGGTCCCAGAGCTGGAGGCATGTTGTCAGTACTGCAGGGAATGCCTTACTGCAAAGAGAAGCGGGACTAAAGAGAGCTAACATCTAGCCTGCTCCTCCAAAGGGTCCCCAACTTTGTGAAGTCCTCCGGCCATGGGCTCCCAGAAGCTTTCCTTCGGAAAGTTAACAGGAGCTGCCTACAGTGTCTCCATCCCCACTGCCCAACAGTGAGAGGAACAGAGGATGTGTTCAGCATCCTTTTTTTTTCAGAGGGAAGCACTCTAAATGAGTATTTGTAGGATCCAGGTTGGACTTGTTTTTGTCTCTTCAGCTTTAACTGAGACTTAAATTCAACTCTTAAAATCATCCAATTGCTTGATGTATGGAAATGCCATAGCCATCCCTAATTTATGGGGACGATCAGCATCTTGAAGATGTAAGAGCAGAATTTAAGAAAAGTTGGGTCTGCAGCTCACAGAAAGCTCAAAACTATGAGTGACTGTCCTCATCGATCCAAACATGCCTCACTGAAAACCTCTTGCTCTGTATGTCCTTTTCATTATTTTATTATCTAGCCCTGGCTGGCCCTGAGCTCAGAGATTCATCTGCCTCTGCCTCCCTAGTGCCGTGATTTTAAGGCGTGCACCACCACGCCTGGCCCTATGTCCTTGTTATTAAAGGAAAAGAAGATCCCTTTTCAGGAGAGACCACTTTTCCTACACATTGTTTTTACTTTATTTATTTATTTTTAATATTCAGCCTAGACTACTCTGATATATGTGTTGCCAAGTCCCATGCTGTCACCTACTCAGAATTAGGAGGAGGCATACTGTGTGGAAGGGCTGCAGGCCTGAGCACAGGAGACGGCCCTCTCCCACCTCTCTGAAGAACCACAGCCTTTGTGTCCAATATGGCCCCTTAAGACTGACCTGCTTTGCAAGCTCTCTGCCAAATAAAACTATGTTTCCGTTCCACCTGGCAAAGCCTGGGCTAAAAACAACAGGAGAAATCTCGGAGGATTTTCTTGTCTCTCTAACTCAGAACAAGCTTAAGAAGAGTTGGGGATGGGGCACAGACTTTAGACCCTTGAGATGCTGGCATACTCTGGAAGGTGAGCACTGACCTATAAGGCTGAGCAGCTGCTGGCTTGGGAGGCATTGAGAAATGAGGTCAACAGGGACAAAGCAAAGAAAAAGACAATGGGAAAGAAAAGAGAAGATCAGCTTAGCATCAAAAGGAAGAGCGGTTGGCTTTCGATACACTTGTCCGTTTTACCGTACCAGAATGGGTTAACTTCATCATTTTAGCATCTGGGTAGCAATACTCAGTAGTTAATTAACAGAACGTTAAGCCTCTGCCAAGCTGGCTTTTGGATCAGACACTGGAAGACCCCAAATTCAGCCACTCTTACAGCTGCCGTCTCCAGTCCTTTTAATCCTGGCTAGGACAGCCGCCCTGGACACTCTCTTCCGGTCGTAAGCCAGGCCGAGGGCAGCCATGCAGTCGATGAAGAACGTGGTGAAGTTGACGTGCCAGCGGTACTCACTGGCAGAGTAGTCGTAGGGGAAGGCGTGATGGTAGTTGTGGAAGCCCTCGCCTGGAACAGAAGCAAGGAGAGCAGTTAGGGGCTCAGTGGTTGCTTCCTCCTTTGAACACCTTTTAGCCAGTGGGTGGGTTCCTCAAACTTGGAGACTCAGGGCTGCAAGTGATTGGACAAATCCATCATATTTTACACTGAGCAAATAGACACCCTCAAAGGCAACACAGTTCCATTTTCAGTGTGGGATTTGCACACCTTGCTCAAATAATTCCACTTGTAAGAGGATCTTAGCACTGTGTAGTATAGGTAATTTATTTCAAACATAAATTAAAGAACATGAGAACAGTAGCTCTCTGAAGAGATGGTCATATGTAAGTTATAAAAAGGAACATATTTTAAGATTATTTTTAATATCTGTATGTATGCGTATATGTATTTATACGTGTACATGTAAGGAATGGCATGCTGGTGGTGGTCAGAGGACAGCGAGCAAGAGTTGGTTTTCTCCTTCCACTATGAGGGTTCCAGGGATCTAAATCAGGCTGGTCACTTTGGAAGCCAAGTGCCTTTACCAGTTGAACCACCATGCCAACCCAGAAAGGGTACTTTTTATTTTTTATTTTTTTTATTTTTTTTTGCTTTTTGAGACAGGGTTTCTCTGTGTAGTCTAGGCTGTCCTGGACTCACTTTGTAGACCAGACTGGCCTGGAATTCACAGCAATCTGCCTGCCTCTGCTGGGATTACAGGTGTGGGCCACCATACCTGGCTCAGAAAAGGTACTTTTAATAATAGCCAATGTGGCCTAAGTTAATGAGTCCTATACAAAGATGAACACCGACCTGAACAGTGTCATTGGATGACCAATGGCTCTTATCACTAAGGAGGAAACAGGCACAGGTCTACATAGAAAAAAAACGTAACTTGAGACCTTTGTCAAAATCTGTTCTCAGAAAGGAGAGGAAAATGTGGGCACAGAGAGCAGAGGCATGCATTCATTCACTCTGATAACTGAGACGGGAGCCACAGATTCAACCAATAATTATCATCAGGAGCCAGGCACAGTGGTGCACGCCTGCCATCCCAGCACTCTGCAGGCAGAGGCATGTGGATTGCTGTGAGTTCAAGGCTAGCCTGGTCCACAGACTGATTTCAGGAGATCCAGGGTTACACAGAGAAACCCTGTCTCGGGGGGGGGGGATTACAATCAAGCGGTCCAGTACGCTTCCCCAAGCAATGTTGTGGGGAGCAGAGATCTAGCACAAAATAGGAGAAAATAGAAAAACAAACAAAGAGAGGGTGGCAGGGAGGTGGTGAGAAGGCACGGGTGTTGGTGGCCATCGTACAGGCACCGCTAACGGATAAGCCCCGCCCAAGAACACTGGAGAGATAAAAGTGCTATCCATGTAGCATAGTGTACTACACTAAATTATAACCAGTGTCTAAATAAAAACACGAGGCTGACATTCATGGGGTGTCCTGAGAGAGACTACAGACCTGCCAGAGGTAACTAGGAAATGGAAGAACTCAAAGGGCCTACGAGAGGCTGATTGTCACCCTTTCCACAGAACCTTACGGCCTCTCAAAAGGATTCCACAATAAAAATGTACATCCCCAGTCTTACAGTGGGAAACCAAGAAATCAGGTCACTGTGATTCCGCTGGCCCCTGGCCAAGTTTCTCCAGCAGCAAGCCACCAGATGTGGTCAGCCGGGGACTTACCCACAGCTCCCATGGAAACCAGGATGTTCTCCCGAGAGCTGATGCTCTTGTCATAGGGGCGGTATCCGTAGAGGTGGGCGGCGCTGTTCACCAGCCAGGTGGCATTGAGCACCACGGCGTAGCGCAGGAACGTGCTGACGCACAAGCTGTTCACAAACGTCTCACCCCAGCAGTACCAGGGCACCAGCGTGGGCAGGATGAAGCACATGAGCAGGAGGCCAGGCTTGTAGTACCTATGGTGACACCGTGTGGACATGTCTGAGAAGTGTAAGAGAGGACTCTGACACTTCCGTGAACTGTCCACTCCCTGCAGGCAGGGCTGGGTCCCCCTCCCCCCCATTACCATGAGTAAAGAGTAGAAGGAACCAGCCAGAAAGAAAGCAAGCGGTGGATGATCTGAGCCAATGCTGGTCTCTCACTGTTCATGGGGCGAAGGGGATGCAACAGACGATTCTGTTATCACAATCACCTCCTGAGTTGCTGTCCCCCTGACCTCGTGTTTCTCCCATGACCTCTGGAGTCTTCCTAAAGCGTGTGGTGTCAAGCCTCCATTTGCTGCCACCAGCACTCCTAGTTCCGAGGGCCCGCCCCGAAACACCACACTGCAACACTATCCCTCTCCCTTACGTAGACGAGGCCACAGGTGCGACAAGGGGACTTCAGCAGCCACACCCTCCTGTCGCGGCCTAGAAAGTTCCTTCATTTACTTCTTTGCTTAGGTCCTACCCTAATCTGTATCCCTCCCAAGAACGAGCAACGCTCCTGCCTCATGCTGCTGCCAGAGAACCCGTTAGTAATTCTCGTGCTAATTTATGTCTGCATGGAGGACTCCATAGAGACGGCACTGGCAATATATCTTTTCAAGATTTTATTTATCTTATGTATGAGCGTTGCTGGGAGCCAAGGCCAGCTAGCGGAAAGTTACAGACAGCTGCAACAAGGTCGTGGGTGAGAGATTTATGTTTCCAGAACTTATGAGACATCTGTGCGTCAGGCTAGACATTCTGAAATCTTAGCTGACATTCTTGTAGTAGCTCTTTTAGTAAACATTCTTGGGGTGTTCTGCATCATCATTAATCACCCTGTTATGTTTTGTAAACTATTTTTGCTAACACATTTTCCCTTCCTTATCAAGTTGTGTAAAAAAATTCAAATAAAAAGCAAAAGCAAATTATAAACTTGCTCTTCTTCTTCGAGTACTTGTTCCTATCCCATTCTTTTCGCCCCTCCTTAAAAACCCGTTAAACTCCCGCTAAACAAGAATGTTCTATCTGCATGTACACCTGCACGCCAGAAGAGAGCATCAGATTCCAGTACAGATGACTGTGAGCCACCATATGGTTGCTGGGAATCCAGCTCAGGCCCTCTGGAGGAGTAGATAGTGCTCTTATCCACTGAGCCAGCTCTCCAGCTCCTGGCAATATATCTTTCTTGTTCCTTTTTATCTCACACCTGGTACTTCACGGAGAAGGGCATCATTCCTGGAACACAAGGCTAATTTAGGTCACCGAGTTCTGCCTGCACGGTCCCTCTCTGAAACCTTGGTTCTCCCTGCAGCTGTGGATTCAACAGCACTCTCTCTAAGCCATTCCCTTCAGCGAGCAATCCCCCTACTCTGTGTCTGTCCAGTACAGGCACAGCTTGACCAGCATGATGGCTTAGCCTTGTTCTCCCGTAGGCTACCTCCTTCAAGATTAGGTCTCCACTACACTCTGTTCTGTCTTTTCCCCCACCAGGGAAATAAACAGGGCTCTTGTTCTGATTTGCATTTAGCTGCTTCCAATAAGACAACACACACAAAGGAAAACCAGTTTACCTCCATGGCCTATAGGACATTAAAAGTCATTTTTTTAAATGACGTGACCATGCAGACCCAGTAAAGTCATGGCTTTTATTTTATAATTCCTAATAAAAAAAATGCAGAGTATAATACACCGGACATTCATTCCCAGGGCCACAATGTTAGCTACCACCCACCCACTCACCTCCTCTGGAACATCACCAGCTTCTCGGCTTTTAGGTCAGACATGTCCAGCTTCCCGCCCTTCTCTTTGACAGCCGGGTGTTTGCGCACCAGCAGCCAACCCACGTGAGAGAAGAAAAAGCCCCGCCGGGAATTGTGAGGGTCGGCGTGCGTCTCTGAGAACTTGTGGTGGGCGCGGTGGTCTCGGGCCCATTCATACACATCATTCTGGAAGGACAGGAAAGAGGAACCCAGCGGTGAGAAGAGTTGGCCTCCTGCGGGATGGCAAGGACCTAGATGTCTGTGAGGGCCTGGGACTCTCAGTCTGACTCAGAATCCTGAGGCTCAAGAACATGCATAGGGTAAAGATGAGGGGAGCTTCTCTGCCTCACACTTGCCTTAGAGACACATACAGAGAAAGCAACTTAAAGTCCCGGAGCTCCACAAGAACATGGTCCCTTCCTGAGGCTGTATGAAAGGGAGGGTATAGCTTAGTCACAGTCTTCACATTTCAGTAACAAGTAAGACCCTTGCTTTTTTAATCGTGTGCGTGTGTATATACAGGTGCATACATGCCATGGCCCCCGTGTGGTCCAAGGACAACTTCCAGGCATCAGTTCTCCCCTTCCGTACCACAGGCTCTAGGGATCAAACCCAGTCCTGCACGGAAAGCACCTTGACCCATGGAGCCATTTTGATGATCCACATAGCAGCTTTCAGCCAGTGACTACGGGAGCCTGTGGGGCCTCTCATCTTCTGGCTCCCAGAGTGAGGCAGACGGCCTTGGGTCCTAGGGCGCTGCTCTGTAGCAAGATCAAGAAACTCCACCCTAACTCCTCCAAGTGTCAGGCCCTCCTGCCTGTATCAAGGCCAGCACGGAACTCATAGGCACATCTCCAAAGGACCTCTGGGTCCTGCCATACCTCCAGAGTATACCACTGTCTCTTCCTACCCCTTGTCCCCCGAGAACGTGAGGAATCGTTTTTGTTTCTCTGTGTAGCCTTGGCTGTCCTGGACTCACTCTGTAAACCAGGCTGGCCTCAAACTCAGAGATCTGCCTGCCTGTGTCTCCCTGAGTATTGGGATTACAGGCATGCACCACCGCACCCAGTGTGAGGAATCTTTTAAGCACCTCAAATCTTGACCAGGCAGAGGGGACTATGCTTTGACTTCCTGGTTTCCTCTTGCTGCAAAGTAAAGCCACCATGGATGTCCTCTGTCCTTAAGCCTCAGGATCCACGGAGGTCCCCTCCCAATTCTGGCCCTTTTCTCTGTTATGTTTGTTGCCTGAACACTATACTTCCGACCATAACCTCACACAAGACTGTAGTGTCGATGGAGCTAGTCTCTAGGGGCAGTCATCTGTAGTAACAGACTCTACTACCTCAGACGACTTATGGTTAATGTAAACACTTGATGTCTGTTCTAAAACAGAGCATTTCACCTTCTCTCCCACTGCAGTGGAGTCTAAGATAGTCACCTTGATGCATGAGTGTGCCGTTCACTAAGAAGCCAGAGTCAGTGCTCCATCTTTTACACTGAAGACCCACAACCAACATGCTATGTTGACACCACAGGGACCATGACATGAGCACCTGGGGATCTTCTCGTTTCCCTTCCCAGTGACGCCATGGTATAGGGACTTCAGCACTGAGTCTGCATGCTAGGTGACCACAGGGGAGCGGAAAGGGTGATGGCTGCCTGTGTAACTCTTACCACGTTAACCCCTGACAGCCCACCACGGGGTAGAGACGCAGCCGCGGCACCAGCTTCTTACCTGGAAAGCCATGGTGTTGGCGATGATGAGGAAGAGTCTCAGGGGCAGCCGGGCCTTGTAAGTCCTGTGGCTCCACAGGCGATGAGCCCCGGCTGTGATGCCCAGGGCACTGATGACATAGTACAAGTACGCTATAGTACAAGAAAGTTGGGGCATCACCATCAGGCCAGTTACTTAAGGAAAGTAAGTCAAAGACGGTTTCCTAACACTAGTCAGCTTCTCTGTTAGCCTTCGGATGAAGCTCTGGTTTTCCCTGAAGCCCTGGGATGCCTTCGTCTTTGAAATCTCAGATTTTACCACTCTGTGCCACTCACCGGTCATCAGGCATCTATAAGGGCATCATTCAGGGCCTATCTTCTTTGACCTCTAACTGTCCTCTAAGATGTTCTGGTCAGGAAACTGCATTTCCTCAACCCACAACCCATACCCAAGGGCATTTCTGAAACAGCAGCCAGAAAGTCTGGGCAATGTGTAATTGGAGAAGCCAAGTGGTGACACACCGAATAGGTAACCGCACTCGGAGCTTTTACCAGAGGTACAGAAGCATCTCAACACTGCAGCAGTATAGAGGGCAGTCAGATTTGCACAGTGGCTCAAGCATTACCAAGGATACTCATATTCTACACACTGTTTAAAGCGGAGTTTTCTGCCCCTCGTCCCTTGTTGCAGTTCTACCACCCAGCATCCAAGATCCGTGTGCCCAGTTCCCGTTTCTGTCCTTGGCCACACTCCTGGCTCTTAGCTTTCACCCTGAGTGTCGGGTGCACTGCTTCCCTGTCCAGCTCAGGAACTGCCACTTGTAAAGTCTAAGTGGGATGGAAGAGAGCATACACCCACATGTCCCCTCCATTAGAACCTGGGAGCCTTGGCAGGAACAGCCAATACTGATCCCTCCCAAGAAACACCAGGAAACAAAGGACCTTCACAGGCTACAGAACTTAGTTGACATTAGAGACATCACACGTACAAACTGTGTCCTTCTGTGGACAGATAACAGGTTCCCAAGAACCCTCTCTCTTCCTTCCCTGTCCTGTCGTCCCTCCTACATAATCCCAAGAGAGCACGAGATGGCATACTAAGGGAAGTTCTGGCCAGGAGACACAGAGACACAAGAACCCAGGCAGCCTTAGGCCTCTTCAATCCACCTCTCAGTCTAGCAAACCGGAGAGTTAGATCCCTCTCCTGTCTTTTGGAGAAAAGTATCCACAATAGTGGGTACGAAACATCTCCTAACTTTTAACTTCAGGAATGGGCTGAGGGAGCTTTGCCCATTAGGGCTCTCATAGTGTTGTCAAAGATGTCCATTCAGCTTTGGGGTCAGAGTCCACAACGGTACAGAAGACCCTTAAAACAGCCCAATAAGGCTGGCAGGGCGCACAACTATCTAAAGTATTCTATTCCTACTGTTGACAAAGATGTGCTGTCAAGACCATGAGCGGAAGCTGGGTGACAGCAGCACATCTTTAATCCCAGCACCCAGGAGACAGAAACAGGTGGGTCTCTGTGAGCTGGAGGCCAGCCTGGTTCCAGGAGAGCCAGGGCTACACAGAGAAACCCTGTCTTGAAAAACAAAATAAAAGAATGTTTGGTATTTGGAAAACTGTCAAGCACCATACCCCATCACTTGTAGGATCTAGGAGGACTGAGGGAGAGGCAGCTGACACTCAAGACAACCAGACCTTCCATACACTGTCCCCAAGAGAGCTACCGTTAGTCCTACACTCAGAAACTGCTCCAGAAAACCTCCCGTTGTTCTGAAGAGCCCTTGCTTGTGGCCCCTCAGAGAGCAGCAAGAGGCCCTGGTCTACAGGGCTCCAGTCTCTCCTTCCTGGTTCAGGGTTTAGGTGAAAGCACCTGCAAAGTACATGTATGCCTCTAGGGGCAGCACTGCCACCAACCTACACCGATGGAGCTCCAAGGAGCGGGAGTTAAGCAGGTCAGTCACAGGACCGCACACTCTGATCCTAACAGTTAAGGGCTGCTCCAGGCTCTACTCCCTGCCAAGGAGGCATTTCGGCTATGGTGTTTGAAGGCGAAGAGGCCACAGCACTAAGTGGGCACAGGAGAAGAGCAGCAGCTGGCTGAAGAGAAGGTCAAACACTCCTGCAACCCCATTTTATTTTTGACTGGCTTGTGCCAAACCCTGGTGCCATACACCTTTGAACCTGGATACAGAAGCCTGCTTCATCTTCCTCCGGGCAGACCAGCCTGGTCTGGCAAGACAGGGAGTTTATAACCCCCTCTGTTCTCTCCTTAATAGCACCTCACAGTTCTGCTTCGCCCTGGACTCAACAGGTTGCCCATGGTCTAGTTCTTGGTCCTCACATCTCTTAGGCAGGCCCTGCTTCTCTTGTGGTCAGCAGGGCTGGGACAGGTGTCACACAGAAAAGCTTGCTCAGAGACCTCAGCATCAATGCCAGAATACTCAGAACTCAGGGCCCTCACTCTAACACCATTAGGCTCTTTTCCCAGACCAGCTGGTCCATCAGGAACCAAAAAGAAAGGGCTCCTGCCTTGGGTCAGAGGCCACCTCTTTATAGATCAAGGAGAAACCGGAAGCACTGGCTCACGACGAGGGGAGCTGCTCACCGAAGAGGCAGGTGTAGACCTTGCAGGAGGGAACCAGGGTGATCCCGTACAGGGCTCCCACGTGCAGCAGCGCCATGAGGATGATGTTCCTCCAGACGTACTCCAGCTTGGGCGGGGGCCCCTCCTCATCCTGGTAGGTGGGGTCGTATAAGTCATCTTTTAGTTCGGGACGAACATCTGCTCCCCAGTGGTGAGTATTCTTTTCAAACTTCTCTCCTCCGTTCTGCTGTCCCCCAGAGGGGGGCGCTGTGATGGTGGTGGTGGCCGAGTAGGAGCCGGAGATCTGTGAGAAGAGGGGGTGGGGAATCAGGACTGCAGACGCGTGGGGGCAGCACGGGGTCCGTCTAACCTTACTGCTGGAAAGGATGCCGGCCAGACCCCCGTACCAAGGTTGCACGGCTGCGGAGGGTAACCACGAAACGGAGCAAGGGCAAGTTTCCTGAAACGTGCAGGCCGGCGGGAGTAAGGCTTACGCTGAAGGGGCAGGAGGGATGTTTTATAAGCAGGACCCTTGGCAATTCACAAAGGAAAACCTGCACGTACCGAAGAAAGGTCAGGTTTTACTTTAAGACTAAGAAATGCAAGTTGGGGGAATCAACTGTGCTGAGTAAAAAATCTGGTCATCACCCGGGAAGAAGCAACTCGGAAACGACGGCTGAATGCACCCAGCTGCTCTGCACTCTCTCCAACCCCAACCCACCTAGAAGTCCAATCTGCACCGGCCAACCTGAGAGGGAGGGGCCGCTTGGGGGGAGCTCACCTCTTGCAGTATGTGGGCCGGCATCTTGGCGTCGGATGCTGGGGTCACGTTCCCGGGGATGAGAACGTGCGACGAGCCTGAGGCCTCAGCTGACTGAGGGTGCTATAGCTAAGTTTCTGCAGCCTGCTGGGCTGTACAAGCCCTGGGCCAGCGCTGGCAGTGGGGCAATCGTGTCCTGTGTGTCCTTAGGTTCGTTTTATTGATCAATGACCAGATTAAAAATCAAAAGCTGGCTGGCCAGGGCAGCCGCGGGCGGAGATAAGGAGAGGAAATGAGAGGACGCCAAAATCGCAGCTTGCAGCCACCGGTGTCCAGGAATAGGAATACTGCAGACACCAACACCGCATTGTCCCATCCCTAGCCAGGCGGAGGGGGCGATGCTAATGAGGCTTTCGTAAACTCTGGCTGGTCATTGGCCGATGGGAATTTGGTACCACCTCGTCCTGGTGCTCTCATTGGCTCTGCACAATCTGCTGTTCCCTCTGCCTCCAGCTCCTCCCCACCTCCTCCCTTCTTTTTTCTGCCTCTTGGCTTCTCACCCATCCCCCGCCGGTCCTCCACCCAGCCCCCACCCTGCCACGGGGGCGCTTCGGCGCTTTCTCTGGGAGAGAAGAGCCAATCCAGCAGTGGGGGTTGGCTGCCAGGCCAGGAAGACTCGGCGAGGTGCACAGAGGCCGCACAGTTGGGAGAGCCACCATAGCGCCGACCACTCACAACTCCATCCGGTGTTTGCAGTTCCAGAGGCGCGTGGGAGGGGAAATGGCTACCACCAACAGAGAGCAAAGCCGAGAGGGGCCTGCAGCCCGCCTCCCTCCACAACAGGCGCCTCTGTAGTCCCTTTTGGAACAATGGCTTAGTATAGCCCACCAGCTCCAGGATGTTTACCAGATAAAGTTGGAACTCTGGTGCCATAATCGAGTTTTCATAGATCTGTGGCTTGCCCGCTAACATCTCCGTGCACACTCCGAGGGCACAGCCGCAGTCAGCAGTATCCGCTCCTGCCCCCAGCCCCAGACCTGCCGAAGGCACGTGGCACCTTTGGTGGAGGCTCCTCTGTTAGGTTGCAAGTTTGCAGTTTTCTACATGGAAAAAACCCGGGAAGCATCAGGTCGAGGCACTCACCTGTGTGTGGAACAGGCAGAGAGCGGGTGTGGAATTATTACTGCAGCAAGCCTCGCTGTGACCGCGCCATGGGTACCCCAGCCTTCCACTTGAAAAGGAGGACCCTCAACCAGCAAGTGGTGGCGCTACCTCGGCACAGCGATGTGAAACTCATGCCCAAGCTTCCGGGCCCTGCTCAGAGGACCCTATGGCCCTTGGCCCTTTAGGTGCTCTGGCCTAACACATCTCCCCAGCTTCCTCTGGGCCTTCCTCAAGAGAGCTTGTAGCCTAGCAGTGGTGCATTCAGAGTCTGCTTCCGTGTCGGGTCACCCACCTCTAGGTGAGACCGAGCTTCTCAAAAAGAGATTTCCTGGGACCAAGACTTGCTTGCCTTCTGGTCTCGGGTGCTTGCCAACTTTCTGGCTAGTGACCAGACACCTCCATTCCAGGCCTGGCTTGCTAGCCAGTGCCAGGAATGCTGAAAGGGACCAGGTGTTCTCAGCAAATGGCAGTGGGGCTGGTGGCGGCTCAGAAGAGCTGTGATTTTGTGTGGGTGCTGTACCCCCTTGGCTTGTCTGTGTTGTCTGCTTGGTTCTTTTTTATCAGCCATGGGTTTCTTCTTTGTCCTTGGCTGCTAGAACAAACTCCCATAGACTGTGAGGCGTGTCTCACACTTCTGGAGAAGGCTGGACACCGGCCCTCTGATTCTGCCAAGAATGGGCCTCTGATTCACAGGTGGCCATCTCGCCTCTTGTCTTCAGTGGGGAAGGGGTGAGCTCTGTCTCTGGCGTTTCTCTTTTAAAAATAGATATTTACTACTGCTTTAAATGTTGTGGACACGTGTTACATGTGAGTGCGGGTACTTGAGAACACCAGTGGCAGGTCCTCTGGAAGAACAGCAAATGCTCTTAACTGCTGAGCCACATCTCTTATTAGGACACTGATGTCATTCAGGAGGGTGAGGCCTCACCTTCCAAGCTACCATTCCGAATACTGATGAGGTTTCTCCAGATGAGTTCAGATTTCAAAGTGTTGCACTCTTTTGGGAAGAAGATGGGGGGCGGCGGTCCTCCAGGATGCTTTAGTTGCTGCTGAAGACAGTCCTACATCTGAGACAAACCTGCCTTTGCATTTTCTCAGCCTGCGGTCCACAGTGCTGCCGGCGTCAGTGCCCAGGGCTGGTTGGCTGTGTTACTTAAGCCAGCTGCCCGTGCATTCGTTGTCTATCAGAGAAAGCGAGGGAGGCCTACCAACATGTCGGTGTAGAACAGGAGTCCTACATTTCTCTCCAAGACGAGTTACTGCCCTGAGGAGAAAGCTCTGGGAGCCTAGAAAAGGGCCAAGTTAGGGAGAATGAGTTCCGGGTGGGAGACAGTGTAACTGTTGATAAGCAAGATAAGATGCCGCTTGGCTCATCCCACCTGTGCCAACTTCTGGAACTCCCAACAGCCCACAGAATAAAGCTATGTGGTAGGAATGATACGGGGACAGCATGAGGCTTGGCATCAAGAAGTATTACGTGACCATAAGGTTAAAAACTATAGGTATTATGGGCTCCATGTCTGCAGCTAAGTTTGCAGTGAGGCAGCCCTTTTTGCTCAGCAATGTTTGGAGGATGGAGATGGGAGCTCTTAACTCTCCTGAATGAAAAAGGACACAAGTTATTATGGCAGCTTTTACTTTTGACCCTGAAACTCAAGAGAGTAACAATAACCCCCACTTAGGCATCTTAAATAAATTACTTGCCATGGCTTGAAGCCTGTACTTCTTACCATGGCTTCGGAGCCCTCTGGATCCTGATCCTTCCCTGCTTTTGTCTTTCCTCTAAATGTCCTCATTTCGCTTCAATCCCTTGATATTTCACTACTAAAACCTAAAAATATTCCTTTCCCTTTGCCTAAAGCATTCTGCCCCTCCAGTCTTTCTTTACCCACTGTTGACCTCACTGATTCTTGGTTTTGTTTTTAACTCACAGGTTGGTTTGTTTACCAGGCTGGCTCCCCATGTCATGTATTCTTTCAAGCCCTTCATGGTTTCTGCTTCTCTGACTTTTGTACTGAGATTTACCAAGAAGACAGGACTTGAGTCCCTGACCCAAGAAGGGCTTTAAATGGGTGCTTGTTCGTTGAACCTGTTATATAAATCATAAATAGGAGATATTTGAAATATTACCCCTTTCAGGGCCATTCTCTTTTAAGCAATAGATGAGCATCTAGCAAAGGTGTTTTGAAAAGAGGCATCTTGGGGTGGGTATTGTTTTTTGTTTGTTTGTTTTTTGTTTTTTTTAACCAGGATGGCAAGTCATGTAGGAATTTCAAGGTATGCAGAAGAGGGGAGCAGAGATGTGGCAGATGAATGGAGAATCTTTAGTCTACCATCACTTTGAGACAGTGCGGGAAGTTTCCCATGGAGGCATGTTTTCTAGCTCTCATTGCTAAGCCAGAAGCAGGAACTAGTCAGGCAAAGAGAATAGAATGGAGCCGGCCACATACTTGGCTCTGCACTGGCTTTGTCCTAGCTCAGCAAAGCACTTGCTAGAGAAATGCCTTTCTCAGTTTTTCCATGTTAAATGACTGTCACAGTGTGAACTCATCTTCTCAGTGAGAGAAAAGAAGCAAAATTGCTGTAAGCAGTTTTATTCCCCATCATGTTCAGATACAAAGTAAGCATCTTCTAATGTGGAATTGGGTCAGGCTATTCCCGTAAGCTCCATAAGGAAAGTAAATTAATAATGATCATTCTATTCACTCTTCTACCCATTTCACGTCCTTTCCTTCTTTCTTCCCACATCCCTTCCCACCCCACCCCCACCTCCCACCACACCCCCAGTTTCTTTCCCTTCCCTGCCCTTCCTTTTCTTCATGAACAATTCCAATCCAAATGACATTGGATAAGCAGGATATTTGCCCTCTGGGTGGTTGAACTTCCAGAGAGCAGAAGTGTCTAGAATTAGGTGTTGCAGTGTAAACCCCTGAACCAGATGTTCAGGATACTGTTTGGTACTCTGTGCCAGAACCTGAATGGGGAAGTCACACTTCACTCCCTCCTCATCCCACTCCTGGAGGAGCAGCCTTCCAAGCAGAAGGTTGGTGAAGGAGGACATGTTTCACAGTCTCTGGGACTCTTCCTTCTAGATCAGCTAGAGAGAGGGGCTGAAGGTCAGCTCTGGGCATTCCTTTCTGCTGTAGAACTCTGATCCATTTGAGAAATCTTACTCAAGACCGAGCCTTCAAGTCTAGGAAGGTATGTGTGCTAAAGTAAAAGGAACATTCTATTCTAATATTATTGAAAAGTTTGTTAGCTTGCTTCAGAAAGCCATGTATGTGGGCATTTCTTATCTTGCTAGGGCCCTAGCATCTTTTGTTTTTCCACTTTATTCTAAAAAGAGAAATTAAGAATGTATAATTTAATAAGCTGTCTGTGGGCTGGGAATGTAGCACAGTGTTAGGGTACTTGCCTAGTGTGTGTGAGACCCCTTTTCTACCGACAGCATTGCTGAAAACAAGGAAAAGAAAAAAAGAATTGGTGCTATTGTTCACCCCTGTAATTTCTGTACTTGGGAGGAGGTTGAGGTAGGTGGGATCTGAATTTACAACACATCTCGGCCACATGTGAAACCTTGTCTAAAATAAATAAATTCCCTGTGCCATTCACTGCACCACCATGAATGGCTGTTGAGTGTTTCATAAACCAGTGGGCACAGGAATAATTTAGGTACAGGGGAATCATGTGCTAGGCAGTCGTTTTGGAGCCTGTGTCACAGCGGAGACAGCCGGACCTGGACAGTGTGACATCCCTTCCACATACTGGGATAGACATGTCCCTATCATATCTAGACTGTCCCTCTTTTAGAATATGAGCGTCCATGTGACTTGCTTTGCTCTACAAAAGCCAAGATGTCACAGTCAGCTTCAAAGTTCTTATTTCCAAAATGACCAAAATTTATATTTTTCTGAAAAGTGAATTTAAAATTACCCTAGTTTCCTTCTCTTCTCTTTTTTTTCCTCCTCTTTCTCTCTCCTTTCATTTTAGAGAGCACTGTTCTCAGCTAAAGTTAATGAGATTTTTTTTGCTGTTGTTCTGGAAAGAAGCTTGTTATAGAGCGAAAGTCTAGTCTGTGCACTTAGGGTGTTTTTGCTTGCCAAATCTATCTCTAAGAAGAGTTTGCAAGTTCAGATAAAACCAAGTTCAACCGAAGAGATGAAAGAATTTTTATTTTACTTTTTGGAACAAAGTTGGAGTTCATTGAGGGAAA